TGGGGTCAGAGAGAACCAGAGGCCTGTTCCTCCTGTTCTGACTGCAAATCTGACCAAAAGATTCCAGATAAAAATGGCACAGATAAAAAATATGGAATCTCATTAATATTTTTAATATTTAAAAGTGTAACAAATATTAAAAATATCAAAAGTATTACTCTTTGAGTCTTAATTTTTTCCCTATTTTTAATATTTAATATTATATTTAATTATTATTATGTTTAATAATAATATTGTATTTAATCATTTATATTTATTATTATATTTAATTATTTATTGTATTAATTATATCTAATATTATATTTAATATTAAATGAACTGCGTTTGGTGAACCCCAAAAGTCCAAATTTTAATCCAAATAGCCTGGATTTTAATTCCACATTTTAATCCATATATCCCGCATTTTAATCCCATTATCCCAGATTTTCATCCAAATATCCCAGAATAATCCCAACAGCTCAGATTTCAATCCCAACATTTTGGATTTTAATCCAAATATCCCAGATTTTAACCCAAACATCCTGGATTTTAATCCCTCTGAGAATCTCCTTAAATTATCCAGCACCAAACAATTCCTTGGACTCTTCCCATAAAAAATATTTTTCCTTAAAATCCCAGTTCTGTCCCAAATTTACCTCTTGGATTTCATCTGCTCCCGCAGTTTGCTGTACATCTCCAGCACTGGAAAAGAAGGAAAATACGAAAAAAAGTTGGGAATTTTAACAGACTGCTCCAAAAAAAAAAGTTGGGAATTCAAAGTGCACAAAAAAAGTTGGGAATTTGAGCAAAGAGCTCCAAAAGGGAAGTAAAATTTGGGAATTCAAAGAAAGAACTCAAAAAAAGTTGGGAGTTTAAACAAAGGGCTCTGAAAGGGAAGCAGAAAGTTGGGAATTTTGTATAAATTGCTCCAAAAAAAGTTGGGAATTCAAACAAACTGCTCCAAAGAAAAGTTGGGAATTCAAAGTGCTCAAAAAAAGTTGGGAATTTGAGCAAAGAGCTCCAAAAGAGAAAGTTGGGAATTTTGTACAAATTGCTCCAAAAAAAGTTGGGAATTCAAACAAACTGTTCTAAAAAAAGTGGGGAATTCAAATAAAGAGCTCCAAAAGAGAAACAGAAAGTTGGGAATTTGAACAAATTGCTCCAAAAAAAGTTGGGAATTCGAACAAACTGCTCCGAAAAAGATGGGAATTTGAACAGAGAGCTCTAAAAGGGAAGCAGAAAGTTGGGAATTCGAACCAAGAGCTCTAAAAAAGTTGGGAATTCAAACAAACTGCACCAAAAGGGAAGCAGAAAGTTGGAGCTCTTTGCTCAAATTCCCAAAAGGGAAGTAGAAAGTTGGGAATTCAAACAAACTGCTCCAAAAATAAAGTTGGGAATTCAAACAAACTGCTAAAAAAAAAAAATTGGGAATTTGAACAAA